AAACTGAACAGAAATGGAAACACAGGATATCAAAGTATATAGGACACAGTTGAAGTAGTAGTGCTAAGAAATTTATAGCACAAAATCCCTACATGAAAAAGATGTTTCTTTTTTTTTAATTTATTTTGAGAGAGAGAGAGCGAGAGAGCACACACATGACATGCATGAGCAAGGGAGGGGCAGAGAGAGAAAGGGAGAGAAAATCCCCAAGTAGGCTCTGTGCTATCAATGCAGAGCCTGATGTGGGGCTCGATCTCACAAACTGTGAGATCATGACCTGAGCCGAAATCAAGAGTTGAACACTAAACTGACTGAGCCACCTAGGGGCCCCAGAAAGAGAAAAAGTTTCAAATAAATAATCTAAGTTCCCATCTATCAAAACCAAATGAAAAAGAAAAAAAGATGGTTCTTTGAAAAAGGTAGAAAACAGAAGTTTCTATCAAGACTTACAAAAATAAGGGTGCCTAGGTGGCACAGTTGGTTAAGCATCCAACTCTTTGTTTCGGCTCAGTTCATGATCTTATGGTTTCATGAGTTTAAGCCCCGAGTAGGGCTCTGTTCTGACAGCACTCAGCCTGCTTAGGATTCTCTCTCCCCATCTCTCTCTGCCCCTCTCCCACTCATATGGTCTGTCTCTCTCAAAATAAATAAACTTAAAAAACTTTCAAAGAAAAAGACTGACAAAAATAAAGAGAAGATACACGTCATTAAAATCAGGAACGAAGAAGGAATATCACCACAGACACTGCTGCCACTAAAAGAACAAGGGAATACTATGAACAACTTTATACTCATAGATTTGACAACATCTAAAAAATGGGCCAATTTCTCAAAAACCACAAATTACCAAATTTCAACAAAGGCGATATAGACAACCTGAAAAGTCTTTTAACCATCAAAGAAATTACAATTTTTCAATACCTCCCCAACCCTGCAAAAAACTACAGACTAGAATCTCTCAACAAACTCAAACACAAAGATGCTCAACAAAACATCAGCCACCTGAATTCAGCAATGCACACACATACAAAAAATCATACATCATAGTAGAGCGGGATTTGTTACAGGCATGCAGGTCTGGTTCAACATTAGAAAATCAATGAATGTAATCCATCATGTCAACAGGATAAAGAAGAAAACAAAAAATCAGATGATCACATCAATGGACATAGATAACATGTGACAAAATTAAACAACCATTTGTGATAAAAAGCTCTCAGCAAACTAGAGATATGGAGGAGCTTCATCAAGCTGGTAATAAACATCTACAATACATGACAGCTAAAACATACTCAATGATGAAAGGCTGAATCCTTTCCTCTAAGATTAGGTACAGGCAAGGATGCCTACTCTCATTCACCACTGTCATTCAACATGGTACTGAGAATTCTAGCCACTGCAATAAGGCCAAAAAAACAAAAACAAAAAAAACCAACCCCAAAAAACCCCACACCCTTAACCCAAACCTCTTATTCATAAGAAAAAAAAAATACCTCAAAATGGATTATGGTTATAGGCTTAAATGTAAAAGGCAGAACTATAAAACTTCTAGAAGAAAGAGAAGACCTCTGGAATCTGGGTTTGGCAAAAAAGTTTTTAGAGTTGACAGCAAAAGCCAAATTGATAAACCCCATCAAAATTAAAACTTTTTGCTCTTCAGGAGACCCTGTGTAGAGGTTGAAAAGGTACGGGGAGAAAACATCTGCAGACTACAATTCTGACAAAGACTTGTATTCAGAATGTAAAAACTCCCAAAACTCAATGGTAAAACAAACAAACAAACCCAGGTAGGAAGTGGGCAAGAGACATGAACAGACATTTCAGTGATAAGGACACAGAGATGACAAATAAGCTCATGAAAAGATGCTCCACACCAGCAGCCATTAGAGGAACACAAGAGGGTTGTGCCTACACATCTACAATCAGATGGCTAAAATAAAAAACAGTGACAATGACATGCGCCATCAAGGACATAGAGGACACAGATCAGGGATATGTTTCTAGTGTGAATATGGAATACACAAATGTTTGGGAAAAGAGTATGGCAGTTTCTTCCAACATGATGTGTGTGCTTCCCATAACACCCCAGATATTTCCCTCCCGAACATTTTATTCATGGCAAATGCAAACTCATGTTAACACAAAAATCCATTAACAGATGTTCACAGCCACTTTAAAATAGCTAAAACCTTGAAACAATTGGGTTCACCAGACTGGTATGCCCAAGCTACAGAACAATGCTAAGCAATAAAAAAGAATAAACTAACAATACACACAACAACTTGACAGGCTTGTAAGGGAATTAAGTTAGGTGAAGATACCCCAATTCTAAAGGTTAAGTATATGATTCCATTCATACACCATTCCTGAAAGGATGAAACTGTAGCGTGCGGAACAGATTAGTGGTACCAGGGGTTAGGCAGGGGGGCAGGAGGGAGATGCCCATGACTATAAAAGAAAATAGCACAAGGGATCCTTGTGGTGAATTGTTATGTATCTTGACTGTGGTAGTGGTGACTTGAAATCATATAGAACTATATACACACACCCCCTCCGCACACACATACAAGGTTAAACTGGAGAAATCTGAATAAGGTCAGTGGATTGTATCAATGCTACATGTACTATGGTTGTAATATTTACTACAGTTATGTAAGATTTTACCCTTAGGGAATGAAGAGTACCTGGGATCTCCTTGTATTATGTCTTACAAATGCATGTGGACCTACAAGCATCTCAAAAAAAAAAAAAAAAAAAAACTGTAACAAACAGGAAGGACCGGTATTCCTGAAAAAATGCATAAACCTGGATCTAATAATGAGAGAAATGTCAGGTATCAAACTCAAATACAAAACAAACAGCACAATGGACTCTTCAAAATGGCCAATGCCAGGGGCGCCTGGGTGGCTCTGTCAGTTAGGTGGCTGGCTTTAGCTCAGGTCATGATCTTGCAGTTCACGAGTTTGAGTCCCACATTGGGCTCTGTGCTGACCGCTCAGATTCTGAAGCTGCTGCTTCAGATTCTGTGTCTCCTTCTCTCTCTGTCCCTCCCCACTCATGCTCTGTCTCTCTCTCTCTCTCAAAAATAAACAACAACAAAAAAAAACATTTTAAAATGCCAGTGCCATGAAACATATTAAGAGAGACGTGACAGGGGTGCCTCGTTAGCCCAGTGAGCAGAATGTGCAACTCTTGATCTTGGGGTTGTGAGTTCAAGCCCCATTCTGGGCACAGAGCTTAATTAAAGAAAAAAAAAAAAAAAAGAGAGAGAGAGAGAGAGAGAGAGACATGACAACTCAATGCAATGTTCAATCTGTTTGGATCAATCCAGGGTTTGCTTTGCTATAAAGGACATTATTAAAACAATTTTAAAAAACCTAGAAAAAAAGGTCTATAGATCAGATAATGGTACTGCATCAATGTTAACTTCCCAATCTTGATAATCACACTGTGATTATGTAAGAAATGTTCTTGCTTTAAAACAATACACAGTCAAGTAGTAAGGGTAGAGGGGCATATCTCAAATTTACTCAAATGGTTAAAAAAAAAAAGTATATACACATAGAAAAGCAAATAGAGTAAAATGTTAACAGTTGAAGAATCTGGGGAAAGGAATACTTTATACTATTCCTGCAGCATCTGTAAGACTGAAATTATAAATAATAAAAATTATATTAATTTTTTTAAGTATACAGGATACTGCACAGAGCCTGGCACAAAAATGTGCAATAAACTGCACTTTTCAGGTGTTTTATAACTATTTTCAGATGAAGAAACAGGCTGAGAAGCGAAATAAATGGTCTAAGAAAGACCACGGCAAACTGGGGGTGAGGCTGGGATTTGAACTCAGATCTGTCCCACGGCAGTTTCTGTGCTCTTTTCACTAGAATGAGGGAAGGTTGAAAATTTCAACTCCCCCATAGGGATCTGGATGTACTCTGTTTAAGGAGAGGATGGCACGACATAAAGACTGGCTATCAACCACTCTCCAAGCACTTCCCCTGCCGGCTTCCTCCCAGAGAAGCCTGGGGCTGGCACTGGGACCCACACATCCAGCCTGGTCCCCAGGGTGCACACGCTGCTAGAGCACACCAAACCAGCTAACACCCTGACAAAATCAGCGCCTGCAGGCCGCCCACCACAGGGCAGTGCACGGTATCATCTTCCCTGTGTCTGTATCTGCTCTCCGAGACCTACTGAGCACTGTCCATGCTGGCCAACGGGGTTCCAAAACGACTAGATACTGCTCTTCTATGCTATGGGTCCTTCTCCACCTCACCGTCTCCCCTTGTCCCTACCTACCCAGGATAGGTAATCTTACTTGATTTATTTTATGTGAATAGGTAATCTACGGTTCAAAATTCATACAGCATGAAAGTGTGTGACGGCTCCTCCCCCCGCTTCCCAGCTCCCCTTGTCACTGACCACCAACACTACTGGCTTAAAAATGCAACTCTGTGATATTTCCTCAAATTCCTAGGAATGAGCAGGATCGTATTATACTAAGCTAAACAGTTACGTAGAATATTCTAAGTGATCACTGTAAATTTAAATTCCCCATTCAGGCATTTAAAAAATCAAATAACTCAAATAACTTGTGTTAGTAGGTGTTCAACATACTGTAAATGACTCGGGATCATGACTTTTTTTTTTTTTAAATGAAAAACTATTTGTATCGCGGGGCACCTGGGTGGCTTAGTCGGTTAAGCGTCTGACTTTCGCTTAGGTCATGATCTCGCGGTTTGTGGCTTCGAGCCCCGCGTTGGGCTCTGTGCTGACTGCCAGCTCAGAGCCTGGAGCCTATTTCGGAGTCTGTGTCTCCCTCTCTCTCTGACCCTCCCCTGCTCACGCTGTCTCTGTCTCTCTCTCCTAGAAATAAATAAAAATATTAAAAAAAAAAAGAAAAAAAAGAAAAACTATTTGTATCGTATACGAGCACAACAGACGTCCGTGAATTATACCTGGTAAGCATCAATCGTTACGGAATACCGACAGCTCACCTGGTTCCTGTCGCGTGCATTCGTGTACCTGATCTTCTGAATGAAGTAGAATATGAGCCATGCTGAAGAAATAATCATCAAAACAATAAAGGAGATTGACACGAAGACTAGAGAGCCACGGCTGAAGTTCTTTGGCGGCATTCGTGTTCCAACAGCTATTGTCATTTGTACAGAGATGTTTTTCTCCAGATAACTCAAAATATCCTTACCCCTCAATTCTGTAATCATGACAGCAATAATATCTCCTGTGCCTGTAATGTAAAATAAATACATATACTCACGTGATCTTTAAAACTTACAGGAACATCAAACATACAAAGATGCGACTTAGAAAAACCACTACAAGTTTTGCCAATGGCAAGGGTTTGCAGATTCAACTTTTCTGATGAAATCACTCTGTGCAGTTGGCTATGTGGGCACCGGTGGAAACAGGAATCTGTGGTGTAGTATTTAAGACTCAGACAAAGTGGGGCGCCGGGGGGCTCAGTCGGTTAAGTGTCTGACTTCAGCTCAGGTCATGATCTCACAGCTCGTGGGTTCAAGCCCCACGTCAGGCTCTGTGCTGACAGCTCGGAGCCTGGAGCCTGCTTTGGATTCTATGTCTCCTTCTTTCTCTGTCCCTCCCCTGCTTGCTCTTTCTCTCCCTCAAAATAAACAAACATTAAAAAGTCAGACAAAGTGTAAAATGATCTCAGTGTTAAGAGTTCCATTAACTTGTCTTACAACTACATTTAAAAATGGGCTTATTAAATCAGCCAAATGTTAAAGACAGACAGTATAAAACATGGTATTATACAACAACGTCATGTGATAAAATCATGGCAGATCTTTACTATAAAACCTTTCCCATCTTAAAATGCTCTTTAGAAAGTCCCAGCTCCTTAAGAACAGGAGAACAGCACTAGTTATTGATAGCACAAAAAGCACTATTATTTGTAGTACAAAAATTGGTACTTTGTGCACTACTCATTCTTAGAAACATTTACGGGGCACCTATTATGTGGACAACTAGTAGAAGGAATAGAAAGAAGTAGAGGACAGGCAGTTTTAGGATCTCACTGACATGATGCAAATCCTATAATAGAGCTGCAAAAGCCAAATCCCAAAAAGTGGTAACCTTCTTTGGTCCTACATCTAGCCTTGAGGAGAGGAAGGTTCCTTTCTCATTTAGCCCAGAGCTCTTCTGGAAATGAAACCCTCCTGAGACAAGTAAAAGCTTTGACACCCTGGACTAGTTTGGCATCAGAATCCTTCCAGCTTCTAACAGCTGTCCAGAGGTTCTGCCACGGCCACAAACTATTTAAGGTAATTACAAGGATATTCTTAAGTCGCTATTCTGGTCATTTACTTCCTTCACTTCTGTAATTTCCAGGGGTAGTGATACAGTAGAGGCAATTACTCTCTCTCCTGTGGAGCGTGAAATTACTATTCCTTTCCTCCTCCACAGAGGGAAGTAATTTCTCATTTCCTTTCCAGGAGAAAGGGCAGCCTTCCTACACCAGTCTAGCTGCCGGCCACCCTCCGTTCTAGGCTGAAGCTGCCGATGGCGACGTGCAACTTTCAGCATGCTTCAAAGAAAAGCCTGAGACTCTAGGGGTCAGAGTAAGGAGAATAAACATTTTAATTCAGGAAAGAGAAAATTATAACCATTTATTCAAACTGGAATAAGGTTTGCAGATAAACATAAATCACCCAAACCAAAAAAACACCTCACAATTTGCCCTTGCAAACACTTCTTCAGTGAATACGACTGCTAAAGTATTTGGTTTACATGTTTATCGTATTTCACCAAAAGAACTAGCCTTCTCATGTGCAGTCAAAAGACCACAGGCTGAACTGAAAAGAAATTCAATAATCAGAAGTTTTCTGAAGAATTTAACCCAATGGAACATGTACCTTCTGTATTACCTTACCCAAAATTGAGCCAGCGACTTTATCAGAATAGCAGTTTATCAGAATACTGATTAAAAGAATCCAAAAACAAAAAGAAAACTGCAAAATTAAGGCAAGCAACAGAGTTAGCATCTAATTATCTTTGTGAAAGAAGAGTTCTGGTAAGTCACAGAAAATCATAACAGAGCACTACACTGTTAAAATTTTCCATTTAGAAACCTTAGGTCTGTGCTTTTAAAATGTTGGTCAACAGGCAACGGTCTGTGGTGTAACATACCAGGTATGGCTATAAAGTAACTGAGACGGATCCCACAAACCACACATGACAATCAGTCTCATTGCTTTATAATCACACCAGGTACAAACAGTTATAGAAACCAGTTCTGAGGCTTCCTCTTGAAGACTCAAGCTGGAAAAGGAGCAGGGAAAGAAAGCTTCACAGGTAGCCCAAGGAACCAGTCCATGTGCTTTCATTCATTCAAAGAACACTAAATAAATGACCACCACCTAGTTTCAACTGGAAAGCTGTTTGGGAAAAGAAGCATTTAATTATTTAAACCATCCAATGATATTTATTGAGCACATACTATGATCAAGGTTCCCGAATGTTCGTGTTTTTTAAAGATTTTATTTTTAAGTAATCATGTACACTTATTAAAAATTTTTAAATTTTTTAATGTTTACTTAATTTTGTGTGTGTGTGAGAGAGAGACTGTGTGTGTGTGTGTGTGTGTGTGTGAGAGAGAGAAGAGAGAGAGAGAGAGAGAGAGAGAGTGTGTGTGTGAGTGGGGGAGGGACAGAAAGAAAGGGGGTCAGAGGGTCCGAAGCAGGTCTGTGCTGACAGCAGAGAGCCTGATTCGAGGCTTGAACTCATGAACCATGAGATCATGGCCTGAGTCCAAATCAAAGCTGGACACTTAACCAACTGTGCCACCCAGGCACTCCTATCCATCTTTTAAAGACAGAAAATTTACCTGCTGTGAAGTAAGAGAAAAATAATGTATATAAGTTGGTTTTTGCCCCAGATCCTGGCACCGAGCTCCTGAAACACTTGCAATTTCTTAAGTGATAAGAGCAATAGGAGCTGTTTGTTCTGCAATTTGGTCCTTGGCCTTGAATCTTACCACAGAGTTTCTCCTTGGAATTTCCTGGGTGACAGGAGTCTTCTGTTCTAATGAGGGGACTCTTGGTGGGCTCCTGGATAGCTTTAGAAAGACCAAGCCATGAGGAGAAGCTTGGAAGCTTCAGCCCATCCCCTCCGTCCTCTGGGGAGGGGAGAGGAGCTGGAATGGAGTTAATGACTGATCATGCCTAGGAGTGATGAAGCCTCCATTAAAACCCCCAGAAGTGTGGGGTTTGGAGGACTTGCAGGCTGGTAAACATGTACTGGTGCTGTGAAGGTGGAGTACCAGAGAGCCCCTCCCACATACCTGCCCTATGCATCTTCATCTGGCCATTCCTCCTCATCTTTCATTATATCTTTTATAAGAAACCAGTAAATGTAATCAAGTGTTCCCTTGAGTTCTGTGAGCCATTCTAACAAAGTTTTGAACACTATGGGGGGGCTGTTGCGAACCTTGATTTACAGCCGGTCGGTCAGAAGTACAGGTGCTGACCTGAGACTTGTGGTTGGCTTTGACGTGGGGTGGGGAGGGGGCAGCCTTATGGGATTGGGCCCTTACCCTGTGAGATCTGATGCTAACTCCAGGCAGACAGGGTGAGAATCCAACGGGATTCTAGGACACTCCTCTGGTATGGCTGAGAATCAGTTGGTACGGGGGAAAGCCCCACACATTTGGTGACCAGAAGTGTCACAGAAGTGTGCTGTATGAACAGTACAGGAGACACACACAAGAGTGTTTTTTCCTTTATATCTGCTCTTATGTGAAAACCGCATTTACCTTCAAAGAGCAAAGGAGAATCCAACTATGCTTCAATTAAAAAAAAAAAAACTAGCCTAAACAAGGTAATGAATAAAAGGTATGCCCCCCCCCCCTTTTTTTTAAAGAGTAAAGGAGAATCTTAAAGGGGCTGGAGAGAGGAGCCCCCTGCAGGTAGTCTCATCAGGCTAGTTCAGAGGGGGAGATGGCTAGCAGGGCAGGGAAGGAGGTGAAGACTGTGCAGGTCAAGCAAACTGAAGAATTACAGCAGGATGTCAGAATACTAGTGAAGCCCCTTGGTTCTTAACTATTCTGGCAGTGAATCACTTATAGAATCTGATGGTAAGAGGCCCCTCCTACAAGAGAAGTCCTAATTCTGCTAATTTCAGGAGAAATTCATGGATCTCCTCACTTCCCATCCCTAAAGCTGATCTGGGTTGAAAGACCCTGATTTAAGGATGCCTCTGATTCTTGACTTTTAAAAATCTGGGAAATCTTGGCCCAGCTTGCGGGGGGATATTAATGCCAGATAAAGCATAAGCTTCAGGATAAAAGCAGGGCTAGGTCAAGCAGTGACTGATAAGAGCTGGACTAATTAGGCTGTAATGAAGTAAACATTCAAGGAGAGATGAACATCCACCACCACGAACCCTAATCCTAAGCCCCTTAGCAAACACTGCTACTAAATCATGGATATGGCCTCAGCACCCTCTGCACTTCAACATGCCCAGCAGCCAGCAGTAACCTACCAGAGACGACAAGTAAAAATCTAGGGTGATCCCTGCTTTCACTTATTTGCCTAAAACTTTCCCCCACTTTTGTTCTTTAATGTGAATCTAGATTTCCACTGCTTGAGTTTGGCTACTTTAATAAACTCTGTTGTTTTATTTTAATTCTTTCTAAACTTTTGAGAATTTTCAAACCCCAGAAGAGTTTCAAATCATGACATTTCTTCCTTAAATACTTCAACATTATCTCCTAAGAACAAGGACATAATTCATTTATCACATTTGCGAAGCTGAACTCTGATATGACGCTGTTCTGTAATATACGGGTCATATTCAAGTACCTCTGGCCTGGGTCTAATGAAAACTTCAGAATTGTTTAGTATAGGTCAGAGCAATACCCAGGACCCAATCAGGCCATGTGCACCTTGTGTTTAGCTGTCTTGTCTCCTCTGTTTCTGCTGATCTAAAGCGGTCCCCAGTCATTTTTGGTCATTCATGTCATTGACCTTTTCTTTTTTTTAATGTCTTATTTATTTGAGAGAGAGAGAGAGACAGCATGAGCAGGGGAGGGTCAGAGAGAGAGAGGGAGACACAGAATTTGAAGACAGGTTCCACGCTCTGAGCTAGCTGTCAGCACAGAGCCCGATGTGGGGCTTGAACCCATGAACCATGAGATCATGACCTAAGCTGAAGTTGGACGCTTAACCAACTGAGCCACCCAGGCACCTCATCATTGACCTTTTTAATGAA